CACGTACCTGTCGCGGGCAGGGGAGCCCATCAAGCTCAGCGAGGAGCACAAGGTGGGGATGGGTGTGTGGTGGGCGACGGAGTGGGTGGGTGGGTGGGTGGGTGGGTGGGTGGGTGGGTGGGTGGGTGGGTGGGTGGGTGGGTGGGTGGGTGGGTGGGTGGAAGGCTGAGTGGGTGACTCGCACACGTACCTGTCCCCCGCGCAGGGGAGCCCATCAAGCTGAGCGAGAAGCACAAGGTGGGAGGAAGGGAAGCTTGAGAGGAGGAGTGTGAGCGGATGGATGAGTGGGTGAGTGGAGGGTTTTAGTGGTTGAGTGGGGGGGTGGGACACACGTACCTGTCCCCCGCGCAGGGGAGCCCATCAAGCTGAGCGAGAAGCACAAGGTGGGAGGAAGGGAAGCTTGAGAGGAGGAGTGTGAGCGGATGGATGAGTGGGTGAGTGGAGGGTTTTAGTGGTTGAGTGGGGGGGTGGGACACACGTACCTGTCCCCCGCGCAGGGGAGCCCATCAAGCTGAGCGAGAAGCACAAGGTGGGAGGAAGGGAAGCTTGAGAGGAGGAGTGTGAGCGGATGGATGAGTGGGTGAGTGGAGGGTTTTAGTGGTTGAGTGGGGGGGTGGGACACACGTACCTGTCCCCCGCGCAGGGGAGCCCATCAAGCTGAGCGAGAAGCACAAGGTGGGGGATGGGTGTGTGGGTTTGGGTGGGGATGGTGGAGGGGGTGAGAGGTGAGTGGGTGGGTGGGTGGTGGCAGAGTGGAAAACTGAGGGCGCTCCCGGGCAGGGGAGCCCATCAAGCTGAGCCAGGAGCACAAGGTGGGGGTAGAAATGGTGGGGGGGACGGAAATGGTGGGGGGGACGGAAATGGTGGGGGGGACGGAAATGGTGGGGGGGACGGAAATGGTGGGGGGGACGGAAATGGTGGGGGGGACGGAAATGGTGTGGGGGACGGAAATGGTGGGGGGGACGGAAATGGTGGGGGGGACGGAAATGGTGGGGGGGACGGAAATGGTGGGGGGGACGGAAATGGTGGGAGTCGGGTAGGTGTGGATGGGGGGGCGGGAGGCCGAGCAGTGTGAGGGGGCAAATACCTGCCCCAGATGGGCATGTAGCTATCCCGGGCAGACTTCTGAGTTTACTCAAAAGTCACTATGGGCATATTCCTGTCTCAGGTGGGCATGGGCATGGGCATGGGCATGGGCATGTACCTATCTCGGGCAGGAGAGCCCATGAAGCACCGCGAGGATCACGATGGTGGCGCGTGCATGGGAGACGTTGGGGTGGGGTGGGGGGAAGGCACAGAGGCACAGTGGGTGATGGCGGAGCATACATGGGGGTTGGTTAAGGCGTACGGGGCAGAGAAGGGGTTAGAGCTGCATCCTGCACCTCTCACATGACACCTGCTAGATTTCGCGCACCCATCTGCCCATTTCCTCATCGCCCCATCTCCTTTCTCACATCTCCCATCTCCCATCTCCCCATCTCCCATCTCTCATCTCCCATCTCCCCATCTCCCTGTTCCTTAAATCCCCGTCTCCTCAAATCCCCAACCCCCCTCCCCCCATATCCTCTCTCTCCCCCGGCAGCCCAACATAGAGGCGGAGCGCATGAGGATAGAGCGCAAGAACCCCACCCCCGGACAACCACTGGTATGACTACTGGCACTAAAGCAAACTCTTTGTGACAACAACACAGTTGTATTGAAACAGTCGCTGCCATGTAATGTAATGGCTCCGGTCAGGGGCTCCATTGGACAAAGTGGTGGAGCGCATGAGGATCGAGCGCAAGAACCCCACCCCCGGGCAACCACTGGTATGTCTAGGGTTTAGAGCGCCGCTGGCAGAGAGTCTCGGGGTATGGCAGGCTGGCAGGCTGGCAGGCGGTGGTATGGCAGGCGGTGGCATTGCAGCCGCACTGTGGACCGATGACCGTGGCGCGTCTCACTTTTCCACTGCAACAGACACAGCTCTTGCACAAAAACACAACACTTTATAGTGTTATTCTATTTCCTGCTGCGGTAGGTGCTCCTTCCCCCGTTTGCCAACTCAGACCCCATCGGTGCATGTCACGGTGTGCCTTTCTCTAGCTGGCATGGCACATGGTGGTGGGGAAGGGGTTTGAACCAAGCAACCCCTACGCTTGCCTCACTGCGTCTCTCTCACGCTGCTGCCGGTGCGCACACTGGGGATGGGCACTGAGGCAAATCTGTTGTGCACTCCTCCTCCCCACACTCCGCCCCTGCTCCCTCCCCCTGACACGGCACGCCCGCCTGACTGCAGGTGCGCATGGCGGGGGGCGAGTGGCGGGTGGGAGGGCTGCTGGCGCTCTCACGTGCCTTTGGAGACGTCTACCTCAAGGAGTGAGTGCCACTCGCTACCCTTCCATAGGTTCCGGTCGAGACATGAGACACATACGATTCCAGTGACCATTTTCTTTGCTAAGTGACTCATTGCAGTCCTTTCTCTACTACTTTATATGCTCTAGCGACTCGCACGGAATGTGGCAACTGAAATTTAGTTTGCTGTCGAGGCACTAGAGCTTGCTGCGGTTTAAATCCTTCCATTTCTTTGAAATCACGTTTTAGAATTCTCAAAAACCAATTCTTTGGAGACGAGTACCTCAAAATGTGAGTCCCACTGCCCTGCCCTGGCTTGCGCGGTGACTGTTGGGTTAAATACTAAGTCACCTCAGGGACACCACATTGCCTCATTGCCCCGTCATCTCATGACCTCATTGACTCATTGCCCCGTCATCCCACGACCTCATTGCCTCGCGATCTCATCACATCACGCTCTCTCTCTCCCTCCCACCCCATTAGCTGGAGCGATGGCACCAGTGATTCTCATGTCCTCATCGCCTCATCACCTCGCGACTTCATCACATCACGCCCTCTCCTTCCCTCCGTCCCACCACCCCAGCTGGAGCGATGGCACCAGGGGCGGCTCATGTCCCCATCACCCCATCACCTCATTGCCCCAGTGTCTCATAATCTCATCACATCACGCCACATCGCTCCCTCTCCTTCCCTCCCACCACACCAGCTGGAGCGATGGCACCAGGGACGGCGCGCGCGGTGGCTTTGGCCTCACTGCTGAGCCCTATGTGACCGTCCTCACCCTCGCCCCTGGTGAGCCATCGCCCCTCCCCTCTCTCGCTTTGTAGACCTGTGTTTTCTGTCGACTCGAAGACCAAATGGGCTCACTGCTGAGCCCTATGTGACCGTCCTCACCCTCGCCCCTGGTGAGCTGCATCCCCTCCTCCTCTCTCGCCTTCTCAACCTGGCTTTTGAGTCGACTCATAAGTCACTTTAGGCTCACCGCCGGGCCCTATGTAACCGTCCTCACGCTCGCCCCTGGTGAGCCATCGCCCCCTTTTCCGCCCCACACCCTCTCGCCTTCTAGACCTGTCGTTTGAGTCAACTTATAAGCTGAGCCCTTCGCGACCTCAACAGTCTCACCCCTGATGGGCCATGTCACTCTCTCAGTCTCTCCCTCCACGGGACACACGACGGTGCCAGCCGGACGCAAGGGTGGTTGCACTCACTTGCCAAGCCACCCCTTCCCCATCTTCTGCATGCCGCACATCGTGTTGCTCTTCACTGTTGGTTTTACCCTCTCTTTCTGTGCCTTGCTGACGTGGCAGGCGATGACTGGCTGATCATTGGCTCGGATGGGCTCTGGGACGCAGTGAAGAGCCAAGAGGCCATCGACCTGTGCCGCAAGCAGGGGTGCGTTGACTTGGGTTGACTTGGTTAGGCTGGAGTTGACCCTGGCTGACTCTCACTGTGATGTGAACATGTTCGGGTTTGGTGAGAGTCTGATGGTGTTGGTGTCTAACTCACTGTTGGCCTAACATTACATGTCCAAGCCTGCATCCAACATGCTTGTTGTCTGCTCCCTTCCTCATTCTCCTTCTCCTTCACCTTGCTTGCTTACTGCCCTTCATATTGTCTTGTCCCGGACCTCCTATCATGCTCTTCCCTTCGTTACTCCATATCCCCTTTATAAGCAGACCCGATGCACAGCTGGACGCAGTGGCAGCAGAGCTGGTGGGCCTGGCGCAGCAGAGGGGGTCAACGGATGACATCAGTGCCGTTGTGGTGCGCCTTCCCACTGCTGATGCCGCCCCTGCTGCTGCTGCTGAGCAGTAACGGTCTAATGGGGGAGGGAGGGGTGGGGGACGTGGAGGAGCGTGGGGGGCAGTGCTGACTTTTGAGTCGGCTCAATAGTTGGCGCAGCAGAGGGGGGCAACGGATGACATCAGTGCCGTTGTGGTGCGCCTTCCCACCGCTGATGCCGCCGCCCCTGCTGCTGCTGCTGAGCAGTAGCGGGCTAATGGGGGAGAGAGGGGTGGGAGAGGTGGAGAGTGGCGGACCGTGCTGACTTACGAGTTGACTTCTGAGTTGACTTCTGAGTTGGCGCAGCAGAGGGGGTCAACGGATGACATCAGTGCAGTTGAGGTGCGCCTTCCCACTGCCGATGCCGCCGCCCCTGCTGCTGAGCAGTAACTACAACTTGCTGGTCACTCCTGCTGCAGCTTGCCGGCCGTGCGTCGATGCTTACAGTAAACCCGCCCCACCATAGACACCGGTAGGTCAACTGGAGCTTGGGCTGTGTGATTTATTTCGATAATCAATTACCTCGGGGACGGGTCCGTTGATCATGAAATTGGAACGTGGTAGCCTAGAGGTTGCCAACCAACGCTTCTAGCTAGTGATTCTACGGTGGTACCGTATATGCCTTGCGTGCGGTGCACTCAGCAGCAGCACTGTTGATATTTGGTAGTACAAGTGCTTGTTCTAGCTGTTGTACCTTATAATGCAATCAATAATGACCATACCGTAACAATATTCCCACCAACGCCTGGTGCAAGAGAGTGTCCTAAAAAAAAAATTACGGTAAGAAAAGAATGAGCATTCAGGTCAAGCACCAGAGCTGAAGAGACAAATCCCTCCCTCCCCTCCCCCCTCCCCTCTCTTTTTCTCCTTTCCGCACTTCCTGCTTCCTAGTATCTATACTTGGTGGAATAGTCCTTTGGCGACACCACCAGACCTCTCCCCTTCCTCGCCCCTCTATAAACTGTCTCGACAATATCAACAAACTCCTGCTTGTCTTTAAGCGCCCAGTTAATCTTGTTATTATTTCCCGTGCCCAGATCAATCATGATGTGCTTGTTACGGAAGAAGAACATGACTGTGCAGGGATCGTAGAGCTCGTACATGGTGTTGAAATCAGGGACCTCTGAGATATCGACCAGGTAAACCACTGCAAAGTTCTTTATTGTCTCCGCCACTCCCGCTAACACCTCGTCCATCTGATGTGGAAAGGGGGGGTAAAGGGCGGAGCAAAGGGAGGGAGAAGGCCATGGGTCTAGGGATCGTAGAGCTCTTACATGGTGTTGAAATCAGGCACCTCTGAAACGTCCACCAGGTAGACCACTGCGAAGTTCTTTATTGTCTCCGCCACCCCTGCTAACACCTCGTCCATCTGATGGGGAAGGGGGGTTAAAGGGCGGAGCAGAGGGAGGGAAGAAAACAAAGGCACACAGGTAGAGCCCATACATCGTGTTGAAATCAGGCACTTCCGAGATGTCCACCAGGTGGACCACTGCAAAATCCTTTATTGTCTCCGCCACTCCTGCCAGCACCTCGTCCATCTGATGAGCATCGCAGGTGGGATGGTAGCATGACACAAGAGGGACGGATAGGGAGCAGAGGGAAGGGACGCGATAAATCGGAGTTTGTAAGACCTCTCAAAAGCTCCCGTCTATTAATAGAGACGGATCAGGAGCAGAGAGAAGGGAGGGCAGGAAGGCGCAGGAGAGCCGTGGACCTGCTCCATTGTGTCCACGCCCAGTCAGGTCCGGTCCGGTCCAGCCCGGTGCAGTGCGGTCCACTGCCATACTGCTGAAAGAGCAGCACCTCGTCCCCAAGTGGCAGGCAGGTAACGGAACCCAAGCGCTGCCCCCTTGGCCTCCCCCACAGGCCACCGCCCGTCTCCTAGTCCGGAATACCCATGTGCGGGGTGACGGCTACAAGGGGAAGCCTTGAGAAACGCAAGTATGTTGTTTGAGAATTCCCAAAAAAACAACGTATGTTTTTTGAGAACTCTCAAAAAATATGTGCAGGGCGACGGCTACAAGGGGAAGCTTTGGAGAAACGCTAAGGAGAACGGGGAAGGCAGGGAGAGTGGGGGAGCGGGGGGAGTGGGGGAGCGGGGGGAGTGGGGGAGCGGGGGGAGTGGGGAAGGCCGGGGGAAAGGTCAGGGGAAGGGGGAGGTGAGGAGGTAAAAAGGCCAGGAAAGTTGTGGGGAAGGATGGGGGAAAAGTGGAAGAAGGGGGGAAGAAGATGGTGAGGGGGAAAGGTGGGGGGAAAAGCGCGGGGGAGGGGAAAAGGTAGGGCCTGCGGGGGAAAGGGGAAACAGCGGAGGGTAAAAAAGGAGAGCGTGGCGGGAGAGCGGAGGAGGGAATATGAGAGGAAAAGGAGGTCGGGAGGGTGGAAGGCGGGCTGAAAGGGGGAAGGCAAGGGGAGGGATGAACGGGGGAAGGCAAGGCAGGAGGGAGGGGGAAGGGAAAAAGTGGGCATTTCAGACGGCGGGGATTGGAAGGCAGAGGAAGGGGTCGGACGGGGAAGAAACGGAGGAAATGTGGGAGGGAAGGGCGAGGTAGAGAGAGGGGAGGATGAAATACGTGAGGAGGGAGGGGGGGTGAACGAGGGTGAGGAACGTGGGAGTGCACGTCATCGCACCTGCATGCACACGTCATCGCACCTGCATGCACACGTCATCGCACCTGCATGCACACGTCATCGCACCTGCATGCACACGTCATCGCACCTGCATGCACACGTCATCCCAGTCGTGGCCGAAGCGAATGACGACAACGCGGTCCTCCTCCGACAGAATCGCCTGATCCACGGCCCACCCGCTGTGCAGATGCGGCAGCAGGTACGACATCGCGACGATGTCGCCGGCCGACGATTGACGACGTCAGCGGCTGTTCGCGATGCGCGAGTACACGCGCGGCGATGACGGCTGCAAAGTTAGCGCAAGACCAATAAACTGCTCGGCGAAAGACGTAAGGCCGGAACTGATAGACTTGGACTAATTGACGTCGATGTCTGCACGCGGTGCGACTTGACTGCTTCGCTGCTCAGTTAGACGAACCAAAGGCTGCCTCGTTTCAACCGCGCTGCACCGCAGCTCGAACCAACGAGGCGATGGGTGGACAAGGGACGCCGGCGGGCGCGGACGCACGACGACACGGAGTGCGGTGCGGAACCTCTGTGAAGAAAGCGAGAAACGAACAGTAGGTTGGCGTGTGCTTGAAATAAGGGCGTGTAACATTGTATCAACCAAGCCAAAAATCCGACCAAATGGTTGGGTCATGCGAATGCGAATCGTGTAACGCTTGAACGAACCCCGCCACACATTTCGAACGGAACGACCATTCTGTTCGCGATGCTGTGGGGCACCCACCCTGAACTACCCCCGTAATTATCGTTAAATGTCTAATCCAAGGTTCAGCATTCGAACGGGATTTGAAAAACATGGGCACGGAAAGACAGTAGTGCTAACTGCATGTTCATAGTCCTTCCCGAAACAACTTCGGGGAAATAACTGCATGTCACACACTAAATCCCCTACCCTGGTACAAGTCGCGTACGACCGTGATCCAGAATTTAATATCAATCACACCGAAAAATGTTCTGCAGTCAGAGTGACTACAACGTAATGCTAATCAGTGGGTGTAACCCCAAATAGTTCGCAATCGTCAGAATCGCCCAATGGTCGTTTTTTCCGGTTGGTCGGTACAATGTTACACGCCCTAATACTCCGATTCGAGCGAACAGAAACACTATGGATCTCGCTTCGAGCTTGATCAAGAAGGGATGTGGCGTGTGAGGGAACCGAACGCGAATGCGGACCACGAAAAACTGGGACTGGGAGTCTAGCAGCTTCTAGATTTTCGCGAAAGTAACTCGCCAATAACGAACGAATTAGGTTACAGATTCCACGAGCTAGTAGAGAGTTCGTGAGCAAAAATCTTTTTGGGAGAATAAAAGAGATATATACCGAGGGAGCATTCCCGCAGATATGGTCTTTGTTTGAGCACCTCCTTTTGGAGGAACACCTGTCCATAGGCATGTAGTACCCTGGCCGTATGTTGTTCCAACATAGTAAGCTTGAAGCGTAAGATTTCCAAATTGGATTGAATCCACACAACTTGAACAATGTGACCCCACAGCTCATGCAGAGCCTACACAGGCAGGGACTGCGAAGAATGGCCCGGGAGGCCAACGCAAGGAACGGAGGACTGTACAGAGTGCTACAAATATATGTACGCGTAAGAAAGAACCACAGCGGCGATGGGTCTAATTGGAGACCATGGTTTCTGTCTCCTGCACGAACCCATCGCCAGTCCACTCCAATCACTGTACCTACCGTGTGCTACAAATGTACATGTAAGAAAGAAGCTGCAGCACACACAGCATGGGTGGGCCGGCGGGTCTAATTAGAGACCATGGTTTCAGTCTCCTGTACGAACCCATCGCCCGTCCACTCCTTGTCGGACGCAAGGCCTCGCTTGGCTGCATTGCGCTGCTCCACCGCCTCCCTCTGCCGCCGCACTAGGTCCGTGTGCGTTGTGAAGTACTGCAGTGAGTGCCTGAGGAACGAACCAACAGGGGGGTGAAGTGAAGAGTGGGAAGAGGAGGGGGGGAGGGGATGGTGAGGGGGATGCGGATCCAGGTTCAGAAAAACGGTGAGATAAAGAGACGGTGGAGAGCATACTGCAGGCCAGTGTTGTTGAGGGAAATGAATTTTGAGAATTCTAAAGAAAAACCGATTTAGCATACAACAGGTCAGTGCTGATGAGGGAAAAGACTGAAAGCCCTGGTTAGGTTTTGACTTTGCAAGCAACAAGCAGAAGGTCATAGAATTGTACCCTTTAAAGTCACTGATGGACGTGAAGCCATGCTGCTCCATGAATCCCTGCAGGCCACCGCATAGCGACTTGACAAGGCCATAGCCATGCAGCATCACCCCCGTGCACACCTGCCATGCGGAAACAATGGAGGTCCATGCGCATGGGCATTTCTTTTTTATCAATGGAGGTCCAGGGGCATGCAGCAATGGAGGTCAAAAAAAGGAAATGGAAGTGAATCCTCTAAAATGCGCATTTCGGGTGCGATGAAAGAGAGAGAACAATCACAGAGGCGAGTTTGGAGGCTGGTCCAAGGCCGATTACTGAGGTGCAGACCACCCACCTGCACCGTATCAGCTCCCAGCAGGATGAACTCAGCAGCATTCTCCCCCGTCTCCACGCCCCCAATGCCAGACAGCGACTTGCCCTGCCCGGGAAACCTCTCTGCCTGCATCCTCGCGATCTTCATCACGTGCGCCAGGGCTATGGGGCGCACTGCCTTGCTCGAGTACCCACCTGGCGTTGTGTAGCTGGAGCAGTGGGGGAGGGAGAGACACAACGAACGAGCAAAAAGGACACCAGCGAGTGTGAGGCAGATGGTCAATCACCTCTCCGCCTGCATCCGTGCGATCTTCATCACGTGCGCCAGGGCTACGGGGCGCACTGCCTTGCTCGAGCACCCACCTGGCGTTGTGTAGCTGGGGGGGTCGGGAAGCAAGGTATGGAAAGAGAGAAAAGGAAGGACAGAGAATGTGAGGCGACTCAATTACCTCTCTGCCTGCATCCTCACAATCTTCATCACATGTGCCAGGGCGATAGGCCGCACCGCCTTGCTGGAGTGCGCCTTGTGTAGCTGCAAGTGATGAGGTGAGACGAGGTGGGGGGCAGTCAAGAGGGAGATGAGAGTGCAAGCAGGGAGACTGACACACACAATTCTGATGCTGCTGCTGCTGCTGCTGCTGCTGCTGCTGCTGCTGCTGCTGCTGCTGCTGCTGCTGCTGCTGCTGCTGCTGCTGCTGCTGCTGCTGCTGCTGCTGCTGCTGCTGCTGCTGCTGCTGCTGCTGCTGCTGCTGCTGCTGCTGCTGCTGCTGCTGCTGCTGCTGCTGCTGCTGCTGCTGCTGCTGCTGCTGCTGCTGCTGCTGCTGCTGCTGCTGCTGCTGCTGCTGCTGCTGCTGCTGCTGCTGCTGCTGCTGCTGCTGCTGCTGCTGCTGCTGCTGCTGCTGCTGCTGCTGCTGCTGCTGCTGCTGCTGCTGCTGCTGCTGCTGCTGCTGCTGCTGCTGCTGCTGCTGCTGCTGCTGCTGCTGCTGCTGCTGCTGCTGCTGCTGCTGCTGCTGCTGCTGCTGCTGCTGCTGCTGCTGCTGCTGCTGCTGCTGCTGCTGCTGCTGCTGCTGCTGCTGCTGCTGCTGCTGCTGCTGCTGCTGCTGCTGCTGCTGCTGCTGCTGCTGCTGCTGCTGCTGCTGCTGCTGCTGCTGCTGCTGCTGCTGCTGCTGCTGCTGCTGCTGCTGCTGCTGCTGCTGCTGCTGCTGCTGCTGCTGCTGCTGCTGCTGCTGCTGCTGCTGCTGCTGCTGCTGCTGCTGCTGCTGCTGCTGCTGCTGCTGCTGCTGCTGCTGCTGCTGCTGCTGCTGCTGCTGCTGCTGCTGCTGCTGCTGCTGCTGCTGCTGCTGCTGCTGCTGCTGCTGCTGCTGCTGCTGCTGCTGCTGCTGCTGCTGCTGCTGCTGCTGCTGCTGCTGCTGCTGCTGCTGCTGCTGCTGCTGCTGCTGCTGCTGCTGCTGCTGCTGCTGCTGCTGCTGCTGCTGCTGCTGCTGCTGCTGCTGCTGCTGCTGCTGCTGCTGCTGCTGCTGCTGCTGCTGCTGCTGCTGCTGCTGCTGCTGCTGCTGCTGCTGCTGCTGCTGCTGCTGCTGCTGCTGCTGCTGCTGCTGCTGCTGCTGCTGCTGCTGCTGCTGCTGCTGCTGCTGCTGCTGCTGCTGCTGCTGCTGCTGCTGCTGCTGCTGCTGCTGCTGCTGCTGCTGCTGCTGCTGCTGCTGCTGCTGCTGCTGCTGCTGCTGCTGCTGCTGCTGCTGCTGCTGCTGCTGCTGCTGCTGCTGCTGCTGCTGCTGCTGCTGCTGCTGCTGCTGCTGCTGCTGCTGCTGCTGCTGCTGCTGCTGCTGCTGCTGCTGCTGCTGCTGCTGCTGCTGCTGCTGCTGCTGCTGCTGCTGCTGCTGCTGCTGCTGCTGCTGCTGCTGCTGCTGCTGCTGCTGCTGCTGCTGCTGCTGCTGCTGCTGCTGCTGCTGCTGCTGCTGCTGCTGCTGCTGCTGCTGCTGCTGCTGCTGCTGCTGCTGCTGCTGCTGCTGCTGCTGCTGCTGCTGCTGCTGCTGCTGCTGCTGCTGCTGCTGCTGCTGCTGCTGCTGCTGCTGCTGCTGCTGCTGCTGCTGCTGCTGCTGCTGCTGCTGCTGCTGCTGCTGCTGCTGCTGCTGCTGCTGCTGCTGCTGCTGCTGCTGCTGCTGCTGCTGCTGCTGCTGCTGCTGCTGCTGCTGCTGCTGCTGCTGCTGCTGCTGCTGCTGCTGCTGCTGCTGCTGCTGCTGCTGCTGCTGCTGCTGCTGCTGCTGCTGCTGCTGCTGCTGCTGCTGCTGCTGCTGCTGCTGCTGCTGCTGCTGCTGCTGCTGCTGCTGCTGCTGCTGCTGCTGCTGCTGCTGCTGCTGCTGCTGCTGCTGCTGCTGCTGCTGCTGCTGCTGCTGCTGTGCTGCTGCTGCTGCTGCTGCTGCTGCTGCTGCTGCTGCTGCTGCTGCTGCTGCTGCTGCTGTGCTGCTGCTGCTGCTGCTGCTGCTGCTGCTGCTGCTGCTGCTGCTGCTGCTGCTGCTGCTGCTGCTGCTGCTGCTGCTGCTGCTGCTGCTGCTGCTGCTGCTGCTGCTGCTGCTGCTGCTGCTGCTGCTGCTGCTGCTGCTGCTGCTGCTGCTGCTGCTGCTGCTGCTGCTGCTGCTGCTGCTGCTGCTGCTGCTGCTGCTGCTGCTGCTGCTGCTGCTGCTGCTGCTGCTGCTGCTGCTGCTGCTGCTGCTGCTGCTGCTGCTGCTGCTGCTGCTGCTGCTGCTGCTGCTGCTGCTGCTGCTGCTGCTGCTGCTGCTGCTGCTGCTGCTGCTGCTGCTGCTGCTGCTTGCTGCTGCTGCTGCTGCTGCTGCTGCTGCTGCTGCTGCTGCTGCTGCTGCTGCTGCTGCTGCTGCTGCTGCTGCTGCTGCTGCTGCTGCTGTGCTGCTGCTGCTGCTGCTGCTGCTGCTGCTGCTGCTGCTGCTGCTGCTGCTGCTGCTGCTGCTGCTGCTGCTGCTGCTGCTGCTGCTGCTGCTGCTGCTGCTGCTGCTGCTGCTGCTGCTGCTGCTGCTGCTGCTGCTGCTGCTGCTGCTGCTGCTGCTGCTGCTGCTGCTGCTGCTGCTGCTGCTGCTGCTGCTGCTGCTGCTGCTGCTGCTGCTGCTGCTGCTGCTGCTGCTGCTGCTGCTGCTGCTGCTGCTGCTGCTGCTGCTGCTGCTGCTGCTGCTGCTGCTGCTGCTGCTGCTGCTGCTGCTGCTGCTGCTGCTGCTGCTGCTGCTGCTGCTGCTGCTGCTGCTGCTGCTGCTGCTGCTGCTGCTGCTTGCTGCTGCTGCTGCTGCTGCTGCTGCTGCTGCTGCTGCTGCTGCTGCTGCTGCTGCTGCTGCTGCTGCTGCTGCTGCTGCTGCTGTGCTGCTGCTGCTGCTGCTGCTGCTGCTGCTGCTGCTGCTGCTGCTGCTGCTGCTGCTGCTGCTGCTGCTGCTGCTGCTGCTGCTGCTGCTGCTGCTGCTGCTGCTGCTGCTGCTGCTGCTGCTGCTGCTGCTGCTGCTGCTGCTGCTGCTGTGCTGCTGCTGCTGCTGCTGCTGCTGCTGCTGCTGCTGCTGCTGCTGCTGCTGCTGCTGCTGCTGCTGCTGCTGCTGCTGCTGCTGCTGCTGCTGCTGCTGCTGCTGCTGCTGCTGCTGCTGCTGCTGCTGCTGCTGCTGCTGCTGCTGCTGCTGCTGCTGCTGCTGCTGCTGCTGCTGCTGCTGCTGCTGCTGCTGCTGCTGCTGCTGCTGCTGCTGCTGCTGTGCTGCTGCTGCTGCTGCTGCTGCTGCTGCTGCTGCTGCTGCTGCTGCTGCTGCTGCTGCTGCTGCTGCTGCTGCTGCTGCTGCTGCTGCTGCTGCTGCTGCTGCTGCTGCTGCTGCTGCTGCTGCTGCTGCTGCTGCTGCTGCTGCTGCTGCTGCTGCTGCTGCTGCTGCTGCTGCTGCTGCTGCTGCTGCTGCTGCTGCTGCTGCTGCTGCTGCTGCTGCTGCTGCTGCTGCTGCTGCTGCTGCTGCTGCTGCTGCTGCTGCTGCTGCTGCTGCTGCTGCTGCTGCTGCTGCTGCTGCTGCTGCTGCTGCTGCTGCTGCTGCTGCTGCTGCTGCTGCTGCTGCTGCTGCTGCTGCTGCTGCTGCTGCTGCTGCTGCTGCTGCTGCTGCTGCTGCTGCTGCTGCTGCTGCTGCTGCTGCTGCTGCTGCTGCTGCTGCTGCTGCTGCTGCTGCTGCTGCTGCTGCTGCTGCTGCTTGCTGCTGCTGCTGCTGCTGCTGCTGCTGCTGCTGCTGCTGCTGCTGCTGCTGCTGCTGCTGCTGCTGCTGCTGCTGCTGCTGCTGCTGCTGCTGCTGCTGCTGCTGCTGCTGCTGCTGCTGCTGCTGCTGCTGCTGCTGCTGCTGTGCTGCTGCTGCTGCTGCTGCTGCTGCTGCTGCTGCTGCTGCTGCTGCTGCTGCTGCTGCTGCTGCTGCTGCTGCTGCTGCTGCTGCTGCTGCTGCTGCTGCTGCTGCTGCTGCTGCTGCTGCTGCTGCTGCTGCTGCTGCTGCTGCTGCTGCTGCTGCTGCTGCTGCTGCTGCTGCTGCTGCTGCTGCTGCTGCTGCTGCTGCTGCTGCTGCTGCTGCTGCTGCTGCTGCTGCTGCTGCTGCTGCTGCTGCTGCTGCTGCTGCTGCTGCTGCTGCTGCTGCTGCTGCTGCTGCTGCTGCTGCTGCTGCTGCTGCTGCTGCTGCTGCTGCTGCTGCTGCTGCTGCTGCTGCTGCTGCTGCTGCTGCTGCTGCTGCTGCTGCTGCTGCTGCTTGCTGCTGCTGCTGCTGCTGCTGCTGCTGCTGCTGTGCTGCTGCTGCTGCTGCTGCTGCTGCTGCTGCTGCTGCTGCTGCTGCTGCTGCTGCTGCTGCTGCTGCTGCTGCTGCTGCTGCTGCTGCTGCTGCTGCTGCTGCTGCTGCTGCTGCTGCTGCTGCTGCTGCTGCTGCTGCTGCTGCTGTGCTGCTGCTGCTGCTGCTGCTGCTGCTGCTGCTGCTGCTGCTGCTGCTGCTGCTGCTGCTGCTGCTGCTGCTGCTGCTGCTGCTGCTGCTGCTGCTGCTGCTGCTGCTGCTGCTGCTGCTGCTGCTGCTGCTGCTGCTGCTGCTGCTGCTGCTGCTGCTGCTGCTGTGCTGCTGCTGCTGCTGCTGCTGCTGCTGCTGCTGCTGCTGCTGCTGCTGCTGCTGCTGCTGCTGCTGCTGCTGCTGCTGCTGCTGCTGCTGCTGCTGCTGCTGCTGCT